CATCTTAACACTAGAGGTGTTGGTATATAAAGAACACAAAGAACAACCCAGGTAACGCGGTAAAGTCTAGATAGGATATGTGTCCGGCCGGAAGTGCGATATGCACATCATAATAGCAGCATTTTTTATGACACTGTGTGTATATATATATATATATATATATATATATATATATATACCGGTGTATATATATATATAAATAAATAATTTATCAGGTAATTTAATAGATAGTATAAATAATACTTGGTACAACTACTGTTTTTATGTTACTAGGAAGGTTGGGTTTATGGTCAGGGTGGGAGTAGATGTTAAAAAATTAACTCATTCCTTCTTTCATTTTCTGTCAGCTTAGTCCCTTTATTAATCTAAACCTTTATTAATCAGCCACAGCGGAATGAACCACCAACTTATCCAGCACATGTTTTACGCAGCGGATGCCCTTTCAGCTGCAAACCTTCACTGGGGAACATCCATACACACACATACACTATGGCCAATTTAGCTTACCCAATTCACCTATAGCGTATGTCTTTGGACTATGGGGTAAACCGGAGCACCCAAAGGAAACCCACGCGAACAGGGGGAGAACATTCAAACTCCACACTAACTCAGCCGAGGTTCGAACCAGTGATCTTGTTGTGAGGCGATCATGCTAACCACTGCACCACCGTGCTGCCCTTTATGACAATATAGTCAGAATAAAAAAAAATTAACTTTCTGATGCGAGTCCACGTATAGAGAGTCTTGAATAATCCTGCATCATCACACCACGGGGTCTGTGCTAACAGGGCTCTTTAGTACAGCTGATGAGTAATTACTAGGTGAATGGGTATGGAAATTAGCAGTAGACAGGGACCTTATAGCTGTCTTGCTCTTGAACAAACTCTGCTCATTACCAGCAGGCAATTACAGAAACTCTGAGCTCTCATTAAAGAAGGGCTTTGGGGTTCCACTAAGAGCATCTCTAAATGAAAAGTGATATTAAAATGAAGACAATGTTCCTCTGAGAACCGTCTAGGTCCATGCTAAATCGGTCTTATGAATGCATCCACAATAAACAGGCAGATGAAAATTCATGGGGCAAGTTGCCATCAGTATGCTTTAGATGATACCAGATGGCAAAACAGTTTGTGATGTTCACCAGCACTTATCAAGTTTCATTCTGGGCATCTAATGAGCGAGACCTTTAAAAGTAAATCACTGCTCTGAAAACAACACAGAAACTATTAGTAGACTGTTAAAATGGACACAGTAGATCTTTGCAAATTATGTTTAAATCCACGGTTTACATATTAAAAATGCCAAGACAGTTAAAAGTAAAGCAACCTGCACTGTAGAGCTGGATATCTTACAGACACACTGTTTGAAAAAGCTGACAGTGCTGGCTGAGCTGTCGAAGTAAAAGCTGTCTAAGCTAGCAGAAAGACAAAGAAAGGTTTCCACTGTTAATGACAGTGGTACTCTCGAACACACCACACTCACTCAAGACTGACGTTAGCTATTTCTGCCGATGCCACTGTCACTACAAAGTATTAACTGAGTGTTTTTCTGGGTCACTACACAAGCAGAAATATATGCAGTTGTGTAGTTATTATCCTCAGTGGGTCAGCCTATGAAAATCCCATTAAATCAAGGCAGCATCAATAATATATAAATGTTCCAGCGTTTGATGGCTTGGGACTGAATTTTGGGAGATTCTTATTACATCTACAGCAAGTAGGGATGCACAGAGCCATTGTAAACTCTTGAACTTTCATGAAGAAAGCTCAACTATGAAATACACTTTACAGAAATATACAATGGTAACACTTTACAATAAGGTTCATTAGTTAATGCATTTACTAACATGAACTAATCATGAACAACACTTGTACAGCATTTATTAATCATAATTGAACATTTACTAATGCATTATTAACATCCAAGTCCATGCTTGTTAACATTAGTTAATGCACCGTGACTTAACATGAACTAACAATGAACAACTGTGTTTTCATTAACTAACGTTTACTAACATAAATAAATACTGTAGTAAATGTATTGTTCATTGTTTGTTCATGTTAGTAAATGCATTAATTAACATTAACTAATAAACCTTATTGTAAAGTGTGACCTATACAATTGTTATTTTAACTGCTGATTGTTTACTATTGGCTTTTATTAGTAACAGTTTCATGGATGTAGGCAAATTAATATTCCCTGTTCAGTGTGCAACTCGAAAAGTCACGCTTGGCTCAGTCACATGACAATTTATTAGCCCAGTTCAACTCTTCAAGGCGAGTTCAACTCACTTTCTCAAAGCAGGGACTCTGCTTTGGCGTATGACACCGCACTATGACATTCCTGTACTCTCACACTGAAGTGAGAGAGAGTAAATCAGCAATGATGTTGAACCATGAAGGTACTACACAGTCACTAGGCGCCATTTGTCCTGTTCAGTCTTATAGCTATGGTCAATATAAAGCATGCTCAAGTATATTTACTCTCATTATGTACATTAATAGGGCTGCACAATATACTGCTTCAGCATCAATATCGCAGTGTCCACATCTGTAATAGTCACATTGCAGACTGTGAAATGTTGAATTTATATGTTGTGATTATACAGTAGTTGATCAGAAGCCACAGTTCGGAAGACATGAGGTTTGTGGGGTCACTGCAGAGTTGTACCGTTTGTAATAGGGCTGGGTTAATTGAAAAGTAAGTAATTGTAGGTTCTGAATGTCGATTTCGATCAAACTTTACCAGGTAAATTTTTTTTCAAATTACTTTCCCTACCATGTGTGATCACGTAAACCCCTACATCGAGCACAACATAAGGTCTGGCGCAGCCTTCACGCAGTAGCATACCCCTAGCCGTGATTGATGCCGACGCTAACCTATCAAAAAAATGTTACATGTCGCGACAATGAATAGTGAAAGCTCTGTGATTGGTCGGATTGGTAGTGTTGACGGGTATGGGCGGTGCCGAGAGGGCAAAAAAACCAAAACAAATAAAATAATTATTTTAATTGTAAAATAATTACAATAATTAAATAATTAATTGTAAATGGGTTCAAATGTTCAATTAATCGATATTTTGTTTTTAAGCCAAATCACCTTCCCTACCCTAGTTTGTAACTTTAATAAGCTCTTATTTTATTGAATTATTCATACAATAAAACCTTTGTGTTATTTTACATTTAATTATTCAATTTCTGTTGCTCCACAGAAAACCATAGAGTACTGTTTTATTCACTTTCATGTTTGCTCTTTTGTATTTACCTTTTTTAAATATTGTGTTATGTGTTATTATCACCATCGATCTAATTTAATAAATTATTTCCAAATAGAGCTATTCAGGCAATCTGGTGAACCTGCATTCATATCGCTATATATTGCAGAAAAACAAGATATCTCAAAGTCATATTTTTCCAATATTGTGCAACCCTAACATATACATATGTAGTGTTTAACATAAATGTGTACACCCCTCACAGAGCTCTCATTTAAATGTATATATTCTATAGCAGAGGTCGCCAACCTTGTTCCTGGAGAGCTACCTTCCTGCAGGATTCAGCTCCAACTCTGATCAAACAGTTTACGTTTAGTGCATGTCTTAGGACTGTGGGGGAAACCAGAGCACCCGGACAGAAATGCCAACTGACCCAGCCGGGGCTCGAACCAGTAACCTTCTTGCTGTGAGGTGATTGTGCTACCCACTGTGCCACCATGACGCTCAGGACCCGAAGCAGCACTTGATAATTACAGACAGATCAAGGTTGAAAGTAAACTCTTCACGGAGATAGCCCTCCAAGAACAGGGTTGGTGCCCTTGTTTTATAGGATGCTTTACAATATTATAAATAAAATATTTAAACAATATTAAAATCTAAAAATTTTAATAGAATATTAAATAAAATATGAATAAACAAAAAAAATCAACAGAAACGTAAATATAAAATGTGAAAATTTTATAATTATTTATATATATACACACACACACACACACACAGTTGAAGTCAGAATTATAAGCCCCACTTTGAATTTTTTTTTCTTTTTAAAATATTTTCCATATGATCTTTAATATTTTTTAATATTTTTTTTTCTGGAGAAAGTTTTTTTGGATGGAATAAAAGCAATCATAATTTTTTAAACACCATTTTAAGGAAAAAAATTATCAGCTCCTTTAAGCAATTTTTTTTCTATTGTCCGCCGTACAAAACATCGATATACAATAACGTGCCTAATTACCCTAACCTCCCTAGTTAACCTAATAAACCTATATCTAGTCAAATATTATATATATTATATATTCCAAAAACTAATTTGATCTATTTAATTTTATTTCTTAGGGGATTAGGCAACCAAACTATTATTTAAATGGATATAACCATTTAATAAAACTGTTTGATGTAAATACACCAAAATATATTCACTATATATCTATATTTACTGAGAAACGGCTAAAAACATTCTTTTTCAAAAGGGGTGTACTCATTAATACTGAGCACTATATATATATATATATATATATATATATATATATATATATATATATATATATATATATATATATATATATATATATATATACAAACATACATACACATGTGTGCACAATAATATGTTTTTTAATGTTGCTGGGCAATAGAAGCAGCAATGGTTTTTATGTGGTGGATAAGGCAGCTACATGTAGCATCTGTGCAGGTTAACAAGGTCAGTACTTTTTTGGACTGTGGGGTTGATACCAAATGAAGCCCACTAATTTGCCCTGTAAGTTCATGTAAATGAGGTCAAAGGGTGGTCAAGTGTTGACACAGCAGTAAACCTCTCTAATCTAAGTCTGGGTCTGTCTATTCTTGGGCTACAGAAGCCAACTGATAAAACAAGCCAGTCTGCTTTGACGGCCAGTTAGGGAATGTCAAGGAAGTGCATAAACTGACATTTAATCAGCAATACACAATATCACAATTCCGCTCAATTAATGAATCAAACAAAAGCAGATTTAAGAACACATACCTCCTTTAGACCAATCTTGGTTGTGTAAATGATGTTGGAGCCATCTCTTCTGAAGAGTGGGTGCCCCTTGTCCTTGAGCACAAATGCAATATCAGCAGGAATGTTCTCAGGTGTCTCATCCCCCTCTTTAGGGAAAGTGATCTTGGTCCCTTCCTTCCAACCTCTCTTGATGACAATATTAAGGATCTTGTCCTCTGTCCTCATTGTCTTTCTGTCTGGGTTCAATCGTCTGCGAGTGATTCGCATCCGCTTTGTACATCCATGGAAGATCTCCTCTAGAGACACTTTGAGCTCATGTACCACCGGAGGGTCCTGTAATTTCTTGCGGCCACCATGAAGAGGCTCGTTACGATGCCTTCGACCTCCACCATGATGAAAACCATTGACACCGTTGAAACCAAAGTGGCTGAACGAACTGAAAGGATCATCTTCTCCATCCATGTCAATGTCCATGTCATGGTCCCCATGGTCCGGAAAGCCATTAGTATTTCCTCGTTGCCGACTAGAGCCAAAGAATATATCAAAGGGGTTGGAACCTCCAAAGAAGGAAGCAAATGTGGCATGTGGATCCCCATGAAAAGTATAGTGATATGTAGTCCCTTGTCCACTAGATGAACCCGTGCCACCTGTTTTCAAACCTGAATGGAATTACACAAAGGGGGAACAATATATAAAGAATTTCTGCATATTATTCCAGTTAGAGACCTGCACTCCCACAAATGAACAATAACGACATCAATAAAATAAAAGCCATTTACAGGTGATATTTAGGCCTGCATTTTCTTTAGTTTAATTGAGTTTATTTTTATTTACTTAGTAAAATATTGAAAACTGCCTAATTTTATTGATTGAGAAATACCTTAACTATATATATATATATATATATATATATATATATATATATATATATATATATATATATATATATATATATATATATATATATATCTTGTAGCAGATCTTGTAGCTAAATCTTGTAGGATCGGGTGGGAGTGAGACTGAAAATCTGCACAGGTCTCTAAATTCTGCTTCAGTGACAGGTTATCAAGTTATCAACTACTGTAGTGTTAAATGACTATATTACAAAATCTTTAAAAATAAATATATTTTAAATAACTTTTTGATATTTATTAAGAAAGACTGTTGGTGCCACATTATAGACATCACCATCTACAGATGTCTGGGAAAACTGGATTTTGGACTCAGTAACAATAAAACCTAAGCCACATATTATAAAAGTGTTAGCCTTATGACTTCTAACTGTTAGGTCTCGTGTGTTAAGTATTTGAAATAGTTTAAAATTACACTTTAAACCCCAATACTGTACGTTAAGGGAACTTGAACCATTTGAGGAAACAGACTGAACCATTTGAGTTTTAAAACTTATATTTATGAGTATTGTGAACTTGGTCCATTTGATTCCATGAAAACATTCAACCACTGTAAAACCAAATAAGTTAAGGGAACTTGAGCTACTATTTGAGCTACTGACCTAAATTTAGTTATATGTTTTCTTCAAAGAAAACAAGTACACTGACACTATACAGCTGGATGGCTTTAACCAGTTATTATAAAGGATTACTAAATATTTTTAGGATTATAGTTTTACTGTGATACTATTGTCACATTCCATATGAATGCATAACAGTTATTTAAAATATGCAAAAAAGTAATACCTCTATAAATTGAACCTCTTGTTTGTTTGTAAATAAACGAATAATACTGAGACTGCAGATAATAGCACTGCAGATTTGTATTGATTATATCACTATATTACATAATTGGCAACTGAGCTAATAGTCCTAAAGTACAGCTGGACACTTATCAAGTACTAGCCATCTCCATGATGTAGCATAGAAAAGACTTTTTGATTTAGTCTGCAACTGTTCACACATCAACATTCTGAGGTGTGAGACTTTCTCTCTTTTCTCCACCCCCTCTTTTTTTTGGTAACAAAAAAGGCAAATTCAAATGGCTGGGCAAAGAACAGACACTTTCTGCAAAACAAGCAGTCGTCTTCAGCAGATACACTCTCCAAAGCCTGCAGTCTTCTTCAGGAGATACATTCTGAGCATATACAAGCAGTGTTCTTCCTTTTAAGTGGATTTCATTTTGTGGTCTGGTTCTAAAACATATTTAGGAAAGAACATGTAGCTGTTTAACTTGTTTGTGTAGAAGACCTGTCCTCTATGTTCTCTCAGCTGTGTTTGGAGGTTTGCTGCAAAATGTTGATCTTCACAAAAATCAGGCAGGGTCAAGCAATCATGTCTTTTGTGCTTTTCAACCCCCTAGAAAAATATTAACACCCCTATGTTATTGTGGGTGATTGATGGCTTGTAACAAATGTGCTTCATCTAACGGTCAGGACTTAAGCTGACTCATCTGACTCATTCCAACTTCAAATCCTAAACTGTTCAGTCTGCATTTATTTAACCATATCAGACATCTTATAAAAACATCCTTTCTCTACAGTCTATGCAATTTAAATCATCTCCTGGGGCCAAAACAGCTAATGAGGGGATGGCTATTAAAGTGGGCCATGTGAGAATAACACGTCAAATATACATTTTGTCAACATATGAATATGAATCTCAATGTGAATCTGTTTTGACGTGAACCCAGTGTCTCTATTTACAAGCAGTATAGAATGACAAGGCATCAAAATAACTAATGCAAAGTCTCTAGTCTAAAACATAAAGGGATTCCTTTATGCAAAAATTAGCAATTCAATTATTGGAGGAATTGGCAGGTGTTCGCTGTGCAAAGATGCTTAGTTTGGCATCTAGCCTGGACTTGGCATATAAGTGGGATACCTTAAATCCTTTATTTCAACAAACATTTTTGTTTTGGAACAGTGCCATGTTTATAGTCCTTGCATTTGTCAGAGAACACTCGTGCATCATCCTGCAGTGTGAGGGAGTTATTTTGATTGTTGGGAAAAAGCAGAGGTGGTAGAGCAGCTCTGACAGCGTTTAAAGACAAGTGTTCCAGCCACGTGAGCCATGACAAACATCCTTTTAAGGACTGTCCTGTCTGATGTAAACACAGAAATGAGCCTCGGTCCATGAAGTCTAGCTGACATTTACATCTGTAATGTTTCCTTATTAAAGATATGGTTGAAGTAATGCACTATTTAGACTGTAAAAAATGAATGCAGGCCCTATATCAGTGGCTCCCAACCTTTTTTTGTCTGAGAAAAATACTGTTTTTGCACAAACAGTTTGTTTATTACTGTATCTTGATCTGTTTATGCACAAATAATAGCCTAATGTAAAATATAAAAGCAAAACATCTGTAGGCCATTTCTAAATGAGAAACGTAAGCCTCTGGCCTTCAAATTGGCCCTATATTAGTTGCCTTTTTTATGTTTTAGCTGTGACAGCCCTCATCTTATTTTGGGTGTGTTTCATTTATTTTGCCTTACGGTCAAAAAATGGTCTGGGCTTGTCGCGGTATCGAGGATGAGTCGTCTGCAAATGTCTTATTAATTTGGATGGCCTTATGCTTTCGTTAGCAAGAACTTTGGCGCAGATAATGCACTGTGGCTGGGTCAGGGACTCTTTGCTTCGTGAAAATGGAATAAAACCAAAGTTCAGGTAACTGTTTTGGTATTTCCTGCATTTTGCGTTTCCGATATTGCTAGCGCTGCAACCTGAGATGTTTAGAGCTTCCAACTGCTTCCAGTATGCTCGGGTCATTAGCATTAGTCTTTTTTTGTGGAGGACGAATTGCAAATATGTCAGTTTTTTGGTCAGCCAGGGGATAAAATGAACTATGGCAGCATGATCGTTCTCCTAATTGTCCGCTGCAAAAAATTTTTTTAAATATGACGCGACCCCCCCATAGAGCTCGCTGAGGCCCCCTTGTGGGCCGGGACCCCCCCTGTTGGGAACCGCTGCCCTATGTCACATTACAAATTTCTCATTCATGCTATCACATTCACAATTAAAATAAGTTACTGGCCAACTGACAATTAACATTGTTTCTAATAATCACCAATGCCAATTTATACTTGCACTTGGCACCTATCAAATGTTAATGTTACACCCGTCTGTATACAACACGAGTAAATACAACGCGTGTCAGTTTTCTGATTTGTAAAGCTCTTCTGCATAGTACGTCTTTGCCCCTACAAAGCAGAGAAGGCTTTAAAAAAAGCAGTCAATTCTAACTTTATCAATTATTTAAATCTTTCTGAAAACATTTAATATAGTATTGATTCCCAAATATCTGATAATGAGTCATTAAACTGATAGGGTATGCAAATGTCTGGTTATGGTTCTTCTGTAAATGTAACATACTCACCATCCTCTCCATACTGGTCATAGATAACTCTCTTTTTGGGATCACTCAGGACCTCATAAGCTTCTGCTATTTCCTTAAACTTCTCTTCAGCATTGGGATCCTTATTTTTGTCCGGATGGAACTTTAGAGCCATCTTCCTGTAGGCCTTTTTGATTTCATCCTCATTTGAGCCTGAAGGAATGCCAAGGATCTTATAGTAATCCTTCCCCATGGCTTAAATTTACAGATAGAGTCCTTCCAGAACCACCCCAAGCTCTCTGCAATACAAAGATAAAAATAAGAAAGGTAAACAAATAATAAAACATCTTGGTCATGCAGTGGGTAGTGATGTCGCCTCACAGCAAGAAGGTTTCTGGTTCAAGCCTCAGCTGGGTCAGTTGGCTTTTCTGTGTTGAGTTTGCATGTTCTCCCGTGTTGGCATGGTTTCTTCCGGGTGGTCTGGTTTCCCCCACAAGTCCAAAGACATGGTATAGGTGTATTGGGTAAGCTAAATTTTCCGTAGTCTATGTGTGTAAATGAGAGTGTATGGGTGTTTCCCAGTGATGGGCTGCAGCTGGAAGGGCTACTGCTGCATAAAACATATGATGGATGAGTTGGTTGTTCGTTCCACCGTCAATTAATTAAGCGACTCACTCAGCCAAAAAGAAAATGAATGAATGAATAAAACATCCTACTTCTGGAAGAGGTCAAAAGCAGAAAACTTTTAATGTTTTAGACCTCACCTATATTTAATGTTGTACACTTTTGATTGCATCAACAAAATTCACCTTAATACCAAGTCTAAGGGCAAAAACTCTGATGCATCATTTTAACTATGCACTGTTCAGCTCCATTCTGTGTATGTTGCTTAATGATGAGACTAAGCTTGTTTATTTTCTCTTCATCTGGAAGTATTTTCATTAACAGAGTAGAATTATATATAAAAATACATTTTGGTCTAAAATATTTATAGGCTTTTAATTAGTTATATATTACAGTAAAACAGAATCTCTAGCTATAGAAGTCCTGCCATGCTGACATGAAGAAAAGCAGCATTTCTGCTCATGCAATAACGCTTGTGGCTAGAGCTTCTGCTGCAATCAGTCACCCTTCACGATTTTCATTAAGACACACTCTAGACATAAATATCACACCGCAATATTATACAATCATGTATCTTATGGCGTCCAGTAAATATTTCAGTGTTGCACGTCTTTGTGAACGGCATTGATAAACTGTATTTAAAGAAAGCAGAGCAGCTCTTGATCATCTGAGCGTGTCGTTTGGGCGGCACTGCAGACCCGACCGACAGAGAAACACTAACAAAGACTTTATGGTCATCACATCACATACCCGGCAGTTTAGATTCACACGCATATATTAATAAACCGCCGAGATGCATTGGCACTGTTTGTTTATGCAAACGCATGTCCGTTTGACCAAAAACCGTCAAATAGTCTAAAATACAGAAATCCACAATAAAGATGCTTTATTCGACAAATCACGAACAGATTTGCTTTAACTCACCGGTTACAATGTCTGCTGAACAATGATGCCGGTTTGCCGCATCCGAGAGGAAATCCTCATCACTAAATCAAAACCTCTGAGGTCTCCCGGTATTCCTCTCCGGTATTTAATGATGTCATGATGACCACCGAGGGAAAAAATAACGGACGGCTGGTGGCTGAGTGAAATGTGACTGACGTCAGATAGACAAGCCTGAGCTTTTCATGTGTTTTTCGCATGAAGATAGACGTTGTATGATGAACTGTACGTTAGGGACTCTCCGCAGCGTCTGAACAACAGGGTGCGATTTAACATCCTTAAATTAGACGCGAGCGAAGATGAGCTCAAAACCGGCTGTGTCTCAAACATTTTCAGACACACGCGCTTTTATAAAAGTGTCAACTTCCACAAAATGGCTTATACTAACTGTTAGACTATTAACGGATAGTAAGACAGTTATTGTATCAATATTCACTGTTAAAGTACTATCTACTGTTAAAGTAGAAAGCGAAATGTATTACTTTTATAATAATTCTCGTTGCGCTATTAATGCTGTCAAATTCTGTTCGTCAAAACTGAACCTTTTCAAAACAGAATGACCTTTAAATATCTCAGTGAAATCTTACAACATGTTTGAAAAGTCTGTCAATCGCAATATATTGAGTTTCAGTAATGTTTTAAAGGTATGGAGTTGAATAAAACAGAGCTTACCGTCTGAAAGTATCCCTCAGCTGTCTGCCGGTTAGAGCTGCAGGACATTCTACTCCATTCATTTAACCACGCCTACAATTTGCATACGCCCCGCCCCGTACTCGACACGCATACATCAAACAAGTTTCCATGTTCAGGATCATAGCTGTCTTGAAGAAGAGGAAACCTTTTGTGTATTGGTGCTTTTTAATTTAATTTATGCAATAAGTAAAGTATATTTGACATTCCAGCCTTTGTTAAGTTATTATAACACACATGGTCAAATAAAAATGCTGGGATGTAACCCAGATTTTGGCTAAAATATGGACATTTATTTTATTTATTTTTTTCATTTAATGACATTTTTAAGCAAACTGTTAGGTTTGTCAATATTTGACACAGCGCTGGATCAATACAAGCCAGATTTTTGTGGTTTATTTTGACACAGCACAACAGAACCTAGAGTGTTGACTAACTGCCATCTCTGCAAATATCATGAAAAAAGTACCAAAATTTCATAAACATTTTGAAAATATCATCCAACTTTTAAACATTATAAAACTATATTTCAGGCAAAAATGGATTAATATATTTGTTTATCAGTTAAGTTTATATAGTTTCGTTTTCTCAAATCACACCATGTTACACCTGGGGCACACTGTCACATTTAACATTCTTTTCGGGTTCTTGAGGCATGAAACAAAACCAATTCCACCAATTATAAGTGATATTAGGTTTAAAGATGTGAACATTTTCCATTGTAATTGTTATGAGTGAATAATAAAAGAATCCATTTAACAGATTTATTCCCTCCAATTTAAATAGCTAATTTTATCAAATGTACGGCTCGTATAGTCCTCCTCTCACTAAATCTACAGTTATTCAAATCCAATTAAACAAAAAAAATATAATTTTATTAAATAAAAAAAATAACATGCAATATCTCACATATAATCAAGGTTTTCCAATGATGCATGCATATTTTATATGATTTCAACGTTGTCACCATTTTGCCAACATGAGACATTTATAAAAATGCATTCAAGTGGCCAATAAAGGGGCAGACGGCTCTCTAAAGGATTAACCCTCTGTCAGATGCTGATACTAAGTATAATTCATTTTGCTACATTTGTTGAAAAATGGTTTGACATGTAAAAATGTGGTCTGTCTGCTAAAATGACTGAGTTATGAAATGATAAATCATCTCGATTAGGCATGGGACGATAACCGTTTTCAAGGTGAAAAAAATTATTCAAAGACGATTTCTTGGATTTACTCAATTTTTTTTACATAAAGTGGTTGTAAACAATTGATTTGGGCTGAATTTAAACAAACAAATTAAGTTGAACATTATTAAACTTAATTTGTTTGTTTTAATTCAAATAAATTGTTTGCAACAGTTCTGCATGCAACACTTTTTTCACGGTTTGGAAAAGTCAAGGTTTTAAAACCACCAAATATTTTATGCTATAGCATTCCTAAAGTATATGTAAGATTTTTATATATGTTTTTTTCAGGACAACAGTTTCTCTTGCAGAAAATATCTCTAAAGAAATTTGTAAAGAAATCAGTGTTTTGAAGACAGCAGAAGTCAAAGATTCATTTGAACTATTTAGTCTGACATGTTTACTGTTACAAAATACTTTAAAATGTTCTCAAAATAAACTATATTGTGTTCAAAGGGAAAAAAAAGGTTTTGTTTTTTACCCAGACAATTTAAAACAAACATATTTTGGAGCAGTAATCACAATACCGTAATATTTTTATCCAAGGTTATCACACCGTCAGAATCTTATACAGGGCCATGCCTCATCTCTTTTGTTGTTTAGTTTTGCAGTTTACCCAACTTCTCAAGAACCAATGTTATACAATGTGGAATTAATTTGGGAAAATGGAAACCCAATGAAGAGTCACACAAACTGATGTGTTAGTTTTCCCCAAAACTTTGTTTGAAACATTTGCTTTTCTTCTGTATTTTCATGTACTGTGTGTTGTGCTTTCAACCTTCAGCATCAAATGAAACTGCTTCTGAGAAGAGAAAAGTGCAACTATTATGATGAGAATGTGCTCATACACTTGTACACTCATGTCTGTGTGTGCTCAATACAGCTGTCTGGTCCAGGATCAGCTCTTACATTAACACAGCAGGGAATGTATGTGTGTGTGTGCATCTATGCAGTCTCATTCCTCTAAGGTCACTCCACAGACTGCAGGATTTCTACATTCAGCATCCTTTGTGTGCAAACTCTATTCAGGAAGGCTATTACATAAGTTTGCCTTGGATTTTCTTCTGTACTTTTGAACTGCTTAAATCTATTAGCTGCTTATCCTGCAGTTTTTTGAATGTTTCTAAAACTAGTTATTTAGTTTGAAATCAATCCATGTTATGCAATCCTCTGAGAGTCAAGCATGGATTTTGAAGGCAGGCGGCTTTTGCTTATCATATTAGACGGGTTGTGTTGGGTATTTCATTTTGTTAAAGTGTTAGTTCACTCAAAAATCTATACACGTGCTATTTATTCACCCTTATATAATTCCAAAGGCATGTTCCCACAAAAATATGATGACAATAACAATCAGAATCCACACTATTGTTCTGTTCATAATAAACACACACTGCAGTTTTGTGCTCTGCCACTTTGAACACTCGAGCTCTTTAAAAAAAGGATGGATTCTGATTGGCTGACAGTGGGTTATTATATTGTTCAGTAACTAAATAAAAATTCTTGAATATGATTCCAGTGATGTTGTTCATCTGTGCGGAGGGGAATCCATTGTGTCATTCTGGTTTAGGCATTTTAACCCATAAGCATTTCTGGTGAGACGTTAAATTGAGGTCCTGACTCTCTGTGGTCATTAAAAATCCCATGGCACTTCTTGTAAAGAGTAGGGGTATAACCTCAGTGACCTGGCCAGGTTCCCTCTACAGTATTGACCCTTACCCATCATGGCCTTCCATCCACCAGATTGGCTGTATCACTGTCTCTCCACTCCACCAATTGCTGGTGTGTGGTGGGTGCACTGGTGCCGTTGTCCTGTGGCTGCTGTCGCATCATCCAAGTGGATGCTGCACACTGGTGGTTGTGTGGAGAGACCCCCTTCATGATTGTGGAGCTCTTTAGGTGAATGGCCATACATGATAAATGCGCTAAATACATACATTGCATTACATTATATGTTCTGGAAATGCCCAGCTCTTTCCTCATTCTGGGGTTTATAATTTCTCCCTCTTTCAGGAATTACTTATATAACAAGCATGTAATTCATACTTATATAATAATGTAATTCAGCCATTACAAATATAGCACCATCACCTATTATTGGCCTGATGCCTGATAATCATACATTACCCCAACTTTGTGGCCTTTCTTACTTTACTTGCTAGACATTACATTTTATTAAACTGGAAGAGCCCCCAGCCACCCTCGCATGTATGGTCTACGGTGACCATACATAAAGTGTTTAATAAAATTTGGAAGCCCTTTTTAAAAATATTTTTATCTTGTTAAAACTCTCCAGTTGGATCTAGACTGATCACTCTCTTGACAATAGTAATACATCAGTTTGTAATCTTACATTACTTGAATTATATAACATTGAGATTGTTGCAAAAATGTAGACATCTGCTCCTCATTAAGTTGTGTAATTGGGTTTTTATTTTATTATGATTTTCATTTATTTATTTATTTTTTGTTATTTTTTAAGGGTTGTTTGTCATGTTAGTAAAATCTAAAAATGTTAAATAAATCATAAATAATAAAAAAAGGAGTGAACTTTCATGATCTCAAATACCTAGAATGATTATTAAAAATAATTAGTTCTCGATCTTGGTGTTAGGGGGACTTTAATATCTGTCAACAGTAAACAAAATGGTTTGTTCTTTTAAAATTCATTGTGTATTATTGGTGGAGTTTATCATTAGCAGTGTTTGGGCTGAGCTCTTTATTTATCTAAAAATGAGAAAACATTTATATAAAAACAAATGACAAATTACAATGAAATAAAACTAATAAATAAATAGTTGTTTTGCATCTGATGTCAAAAATAATGTAAATACTGTACAAATTATGTTCATTATGTCTGAAACATTTGAATGAATCAATAGATAATGTAAAACAATATATTATTCTAACTAGACCATCCTATTTTCACGTCCTATTACACAGACACTGTTGGCTCAACAATCCTAGTTGTTCTACAAACATGTTCCGTTAACATGCAAATGAGTCACACTAAAAGCAGTGTCATGCTGGATGCCATTTTTTTTTTTAAATATATTTCTTGAGCGAAATGTCATTTCAAAGTCCCCACGTCTCATTTGTATAAAGTTATCTCACATCTTTAAATAGACAGAATAAAGTGTGAGCTGAAAGAGGTGGACTTGGCCATAAGTGCACCTGAATCATCAGCGCTGGAGTGTGGAGGAGAAATGTAATGATTGAGTGAATCAGAGCCTCCCACAGGTGACAACTTAAGTGCAGTGACTCTGCCATTTTACTTACAGCCATTAACCCCTTACATGCACAATCCAGAGCAAGTTAATGAGCTGCTTTGTTTTTGCCTGCAGTAAAGTTTTCTAAAAAGTTTTTTTCAGTCTAATGTAAAGAAAACATCCAATATAGTGTTTCCCAAGTTGCACTTTTATTAATTTCAATTAAATGTCAACATGTCAATTAAATTGCATGTTTTTATGGGTTTTTTCTGCTACTCTGAGACATAAATCTCTGTTTTGTATCTGTATTCTGAAGGCTTTTGTGAGTGGTATGTTCATATATATTACATGGCATGATTACAGCTGAAGACAAAAATAAATTTTTTAGCAAAAATAAAAGTATTAGAAATTGTAATTTATTATTTTTTTCAACAGATTTTTTAAAACATATTATTAGTTTTAATAACCAATTTCTTTCTTTTTTTGCCTTGATGACAGTACAAAATATTTTACGAGTTAATTAGCAAAATCTTAATGGAATTTTAAAGGCTTAATTAGGAAAGATGGTGTTTTTTTTCTGTAGCCTTATTATATTAATCTTAGTGTTTTTTGTTTTGTTTTTTTTGTTTTTTTAAAGAAGGCTTAAT